TAAGCTCATTTTATTGTGAATATATTTTAACATGTTCACCCTTGGTAAAATATTTATTTTTCAGTCCTTGCCGTACTTGGTGAATTATTATTTGTATTACCATAGCCCCTTGCAGCTTTAGTCATGGACTTGGAATTCACTGTACTATGCACCGTACAAACACAGAACAAAAAAACCCAGTTTCTGCCCCAAGAAGCTTACAATCTAAGTATAATAGATGGGTACAGACAGATGGGAGAGTATAAAGTAAAATTCTGGTAGTTGCGTTTTATGGGAGGAAACTGTGTCTACTTGTTCAAGCACAGGAGCTCTTGGATTCAGGAGGTAGAAATTTTCTTCCTGGTTTTGCTACAGACTTGCTGTTAAACCTTAAACTAATCACTTAAACCGAGATTTTAAATGTCTTTAGGTAGTGTTCTGTTAAGTGTAAATTGAGTCTCCATGTTTAGTTCAGTTCTTTGCTTATCTGTTGTCATTAACAGTCATGATTTAGATATCTATATGCTGGATACAGGTGGAGATATTCTTACTGATGCCACTAATGACTCTTGGATAACAACAAAAACTTTCCATTGGTCTTAACCAAACTGGATCCAATGAAGTGAAAGGTTCCATCTCTTGTAGTCACAAAGCATGACCCCTATCTTGTGTTGCATTACTCATACAGTCCAACAGACAGGCTTGGTATTTTATGGACAAGAAAGATGTGCTATGGCAAAGGATGTTACAATTTTAGATTATATTTAACATACCAAAGACTGACAAAGTGAGAGGATGAAAATGAACATGGGACGATTACTGTTACGTATGCATAATCTTTGGTCCCCTGTCATTTTTTAACAAGGGGAACATTTGCAAAGGCACAAAGAGTGGTCAGGCACTCGCCTCCTATTGATGCTCAAAGAGAGGTTGGGTGCTTAACTGCCCTTTTTGCCTTTGCAAATCTGCCCTTACTATAATTTGGGAATAGTGTCCCGAGTAAGGGCTGGAGTGGAGGACAGTGATGGAAGTGTAAATGTTTTGAGAAGGATTTGAAGACTAGTGCTCAGACTGGGAGGATGTTCTAGGAATGGAATGCAAGAGAGTGAGTAGTTGCTTGTGGAAAAGTCAAATTTGCATGCATAGCACACACAAAGGAAGGGAGGCGATTAGATGTGAGGCAGAGCTATGTATAGCCTTGAAAGGTAGGATGGAGTGTTGAACGTGATACTGTGGGGAAAATAAAATCCATTGTAAACTTGAGGGTGGGGTGGTGCCTGGTGATAGAGCAGTGGTGAGAAAGGTGATCTTGGAGATTAAGGGTGAATAGAAGAGTCAGGATGCCAGAGAAGAGAGTTTGATGTTTTTGTTACAGTTGTGTTAAGTCTTTTTGTCCAGCTCAGATCTTCAGCTATCTGAAACCTACAGATAGTCTAGGATGGAAACAAGCACTATAGATATTGTATCCTTTTAAGCTGAATGAAGAGTCTGAGAATAACTCAGAGCAGAACTCACTAGCATCAAACAACTCATTTTCTAGTGGTTCCACATACTAGTGAAACTATACAGAGTAATTCACAGACAAGCTGTAAAACTTTTTATAGGTAAAAGTTGTTACAAGCCAATTGTGAGTAGCAAAAAGCAGCCATTAAAAGGGCAGGAAATTTTAGAGTAAGCTTACAAGAAACCCAAACACTTGAAAATATGCAAATTCACAGTTAAGGTACCCACACTACCTTAATATTGATTCTGGACAATTTCAGTATCCCATCTTTTCTGAGACTCTTGCATTTTTTTTGTAAGATGCTGGTTTTGGATGTCAACTTTTTCTAAGACCTTTTGAGAAGGCTCCAGCCTATGGCTTAAACAGCTAATGAACTTGTAGGTTCACAAGTGGGATAAAAAATGTGTACCTGAGCACTGGCTTTTCCTCCTTCATATCTCCATTGTTGGTTACATCTAATGCCACTGGATCAGCATTAGAAGGCTCAATCCACTGCCTACCAGAGTACTGAGCACCCTCTGCAACCTTGCATGACTGGGCCCTTACAGAGTGGGGAATGATTGCCTTCAGTGAGCTATTTGTGTTCAGAAATTTTTTAAATAACATTTTCTGGGGAGTGGCTTTGACATTTAGTAAGGCTAGATGTGGCATAATCGCTACAAGACTAAATCATTCTAGTTCTTGTCACAGGTAACACTATTTCTTATTGACTGATAAAAGTAGTCATGCCAAGAGGCAAAATGCTAAGTATTTATATATTTAAGGTAGTTTGGTAAATTAATTGTGCATTTCCATATGCACATCCAAATATTTGGGTTAATTATATGCTTTAATTCTAAATTTCTTGCTTTGTTTTTTTTATTTTGTTTTGCCAACTGCAGTGTTCTTATAAGAATTTTTATCCCTAAGTTAATGACAGATATTCTTAGTCTTAATTTAATTTTGACATTTTTTGGCTGAGAATTTCCTTACTTTAAAAAAAAATCCTAAATTTGGGAATATAAGGTATCTAAAACAATATGATACCTCTGTGATATTTAGCTGGTTGCACAGATCAGAAAACTGCAATTTTTCTGATAACATGCAAACTTTTATACCTAGTCTTCATTAGCCATTACCTGCGTTTGAAATTCAGTTTAGAATGGAAATAGTTGTGGCCTGTTTTTCATAGGTGCTAACCTCTCTCGACTTACATGGAATTTACAGGAGCTATAGAACTTCTGAAAATTGTGCCAAATCATGTAGGCAAAGAACAGATTTCAACCAGACATCCATATTCATGGAGGAGAAACATTTTATGGTTCGGTCTTGTAAAATAAAGCATGGTGCTGAGAGAGCAGTTTCATGGCCAAGACAACATCATCCCTTCTCTCCTCACAGACTCTTCCACCCTGCCCCCATTCCAAAGACCGACTCAAGTGCTCTTGTGGCAAAGAAGTACAAGTACTACCTGCAATGTGAGAACTTACACAAGTGAATGCAGATCTCTAGTCCTAACAGAAGAGATGGGGCTAACTCACAGACTTACCCAGGATCTTCTGTAGTATGTGCTCAGCAGTCTAAAAGCAAAGCCAAAAAGACTTTTATGAGGGGAAAGCGGCGGCACACCTCTTACTTTACAGCTTGTAATCATTTTTTGTACTGAGAAAAATTGCAGTATGTAAGCTCTCTGGGGACGGAGTGTCATTCACTGTACAGCATCTAGCACAATGGGACCCCAAATTGGTTGGTGTCTCAGTGCTACTATAATGTAGATGTCAAATGATAATGTTAAAATGTTTATAATGGTCAAGAGTTTCAAATGGAATTAGTGATTTTGGGCGCTGTCATGTACACATTAGGTTGTAGGGCTGCTACTAGCAGGTCAGGCTTCTGTACCAGGTTTGGACTTGCTACAGAGCTTCCATCCTGGAGAGAGATACAAGAGATGTGTTCTCCTTAAGATACTGTAATCCACTGCCAAGTATGGCTGTTACCAACTGAGGTAAGATATGTTATGCATGAAGCCACCTAGTTTTAGCATTCCAGCACAGGCGCCTTAAGTTTTGGCTGTCCAACTTGAGCCACATCAAAAGGGCCTGCCTTTCAGAAAGTGCTGAGCAACACCCTCAGAAAATCAGGCCCCTTCAAAGTGTGTCAAATTGGCTGCCAAAAATCGCTACTTTTGAAAATATTGGCTGTTGTTTTTTCTCATTTCAGCCATTCACTTGATTGTAGCGTGTTTGAATTTAAGAACAGGGAGATGGCAAAATAACAGGCTCAAATGGAATTATTTAATTTAAAATATTGAAAATTATTCAATTAATACAGTATTAGACTACGTGAAGGAAACCTTCATTACCTCCTCCTGTTAATGGTGAAAGGACGGCACCCTGGTCTCTTCCTTGGTAACTGATGGAATTCTGGCTGTGGTCATTCCCAAACTTTCCTTTTATAGAGTGTGAGGCAAAAATGACTTTTTGGTGGGAAAACTACCTTCCCAGTCTTAATTTCACTATGTGTTCTGTTTTTGATATCTCATTTTATGTATTTACTTACAGAATTTATTTTATGGAAACTTAGTTTACATAATTGATAAGCTAAAGGAATTTCTAATTCAGTTATTAAGAACACCTGTTGTAATAACCACTTCCTTTGAGTTAAAAACATCTTTCAGTGGGTCATAATTTGTCATCACAGATGTTTTCTGCGATTTATGAAATGTCCCTGATAAATGACAGAACGTAATTGAGATTATAAACACCCCCTTATCAATTACCCAGTCTTATTTATTTTAACATACTTCCATAGGGTCCCTTCCCTGGATGTCTTGGCTATCTTTGAAAGGTCAGGGTAAAAGGTTACATACATTCCATTACTGGGTTCACTTTCCCTTCATGTACTAGGTTCAACTGAAGGACAAAGAACTTTTCAGTTTCAGTAGGTATAGGGCACTAAACATATAAATATACAACATAAAAAGGATTGTGGTTAACATGTAAAAAAATTATGAGAGTTTAGCATACAGAAATTATGAAAGGTTAATATTTACTAGTAGGATTATTTAAGTCAAATCAACAAAGACTTCTGAGAAGTTATAGTAAGGAGTAAAAGTGGAGTTTAGATGAGGTGTATCCTACATTTTTAGAGAAACTATTTTTTATTTTTAGTGTTCCTATCCTGTGCTCTCTGTGATTATTAGAATTAATTCCAAAGAAGGCTGAAGTTCTATTGAATCTAGCCAACTCTTGTCTAGATCTTCTGAAATGTTGCACAAGAAGTTGAAGTAAAAAGTGTGGGGGCATGTGACAGCTAATCTCTTTAGCAATAAGACTCTGAAATGTAAGCATCTTGTTGGAAATGCACCTAGTTCTTTGCTGCTCTTTGTTTTGCTTAGAAGCTTTTCCTTGCACAAATTGGGCATGTAAACTCCTTTGCATAGTCCAGTTAAATCCTGTTGGTAGCTTGTCAGTGGAGGGTGGGGGACGGGAGTTTTTTAAAATTGTTCAGTGAGTCTGTTTCATAATGGAAGAATTTGCCTGAAAGGATCTGGGAGTGTTTTGTGTATGTCCTCTTGAAGAACTGACATGGAGGGAATACCCCAGTTTCTTCAGTCTAAAATGTTTTGGAATGTTTCAACTAACTCCTCAGAAAGTGAAAATGAAGCTCAGTCAGTCTTTTCACAGACTGAGCACAATATAGTCGCAGCTTACTTAATAACAGCAGGTATGAAGGTTGGTGGGTTATTTTTTTTTTTAATGGGAAGTTAGGCTTCAATATTCATTTTGGGTTATTGCCAATGAAATATCTTTTATATACAAAAAGCAAAAGGTCTAGTGTCTCTCAACTTGAAGGTAGATGAGTAGATAAACAACCGTGTGACTGTAAAATGTATAGAAACTTCTAAAATGAGGGGTACAGTTTAAGACTGCATTATTTAAAAAAGTGTATTTTGCTTATACGTGATTATAGCAAAAACTGCGGAATTCTGCCAGCGTGCAAAAGGAATAAGAATAGAAGTTGCAACATTTTGCATTTTTCACTGATATGCTTGAAGTTATCCTGATATGCCTCTGAGGGTCACATGTTCACAACAATGTATGTGTAATCTGAGCGTGTGCATGGGTGTCTGTGTGGAGATTGTAAGCGGAAGTGTTGGAATGTCACTGATAGGGAGGGGACTGCTCATTGATGGGAGATAAGGAGACTCTTGTTTCAGTAGTATGTTTGTTTCACTGATGACCCATTTTTAGGAAAAGTAGCACACATGTTGGGGGCCTGATCCAAAGTCAGTTTACTCCCACTCATTGCAGTGGGCTTTGGGATAAGAGTTGGAGGAGCTGAGATCAAAATATGAAATAAATAAGATCAAATATGAAATAACTTTTCTTCAAAACTTGTTTATTTCAGTACGATAACTGAATGTTTCAAAAGTAAATTCTTTAATTCTACAATCTAGCACATTTAAAAATATGTCTGGGTTTATTTTATGCCTGTTCAATTGAAAAATTAAGCCATTTTAGGTATACATATTTTTGTTAGGAAATATTGTAAGTTTTGGGCATACTTTTTCCAACCAGTTTCAGCGTTATTAGTTTATGAAGAATTTTCAACTAATTATTCTGATTTTTATGGTTTATGTGCAGTAATTATGAAGGTCAAATTTTACTCAGTGAATCTTTTTTGTATAGTATTTGACAAATCGTTTTTCTGTTTAAGATGAACTCATTTAGTTTTTTTGATACCAAGGCTGATATTTCAAACAGCTCTAATCTTTTTTAAGTTCTCCTTGTAGTTTTGCTAAGAATCTATTGTATTCAATAATAATCTACTGAAACTCCAGATATGCTCCTTTACTCATTGGTGCCACCAGATCATCTGCAGATAAATGGATAATACTGGCACTCTCAGAAATGTAGGTCATTTGTCCAGACTTTGATTTAACTCAAATTGACAGGATTAGGGTTGTAACAATGTCTGGTTTATCAAATAATTTGACCATTTTATGAAGAGCAATATTACCAGGAGATACAGAGATTAGCAAAGGCAAAAACCTCTCCTCTTTCTCTCCCACCTGGGCAACTGACATGTGGGTCTGTTGTATGTATTTGCCAGTTGTGTAAACCTACAGTGCTGGGTTTTGAGTTAAAGAGACATAGTCTACCCAACATTCACACTTCTGTCTGAAAACATTTTACTAACTGTTACAAATACGGTCTGAAATAACTGTAGCTGAAAAATCTTTTTCTTTTCTTTTTCCTTTTCTCTTTCTTGTTACTTTGTCTTAGTTGATTAGGGAAGCAGTGCTAGCAATGATTGCAGCTATAGTATGAACCAAGGTTAAGTGCAGGAACTTTTGCCAATGAGTTTGGTCCATTTCTGAACACCTCATTCTAACAAATTCACATCCTGAACATGTTGGTCAGTAATTGAGTTCCATTGTCATGGGAGAAAGAGCTCATCAGTGGAAGACTTTAATCTCATTGTATTAGTTAGCAGATGGAGAAGATGACAAAGGAAAGGAAATACAGATACAGTGGTCACCATTAAGTCAACATTTATCAACAGCTACCATGCTATAGTATCAGCAGATATTTCACCATGCTCTGAAAATGAAATAACTGCTGGAGCTTGGTTTACAGGGTGGTTATTTTTTGTTTTAATGTTGACCACTGGTATGCTCAAACCATTTCTGTCTCTGTGGCTTGCTCACAATGGTGAAATGGAACCATCTTAAATCAAGTGCTTCATAGTCACAGAATAGCTTCATTACAAGTGAAGGATTACTAACTGAAGCTGCAAACTCCCTCTGTAGTTAAAACATTGTAACTATTCAGGAGTTACATTCTACTGAATTATTTTGAAGTTCATAGTAACAGGGTCCTGCTCTATTGCCTATTGAATAGAGACTGCCTTAATTTTCTTCCCGTCCGTTAGAAAGAAGAATAAGAGAGGGGAGCCCCCTTTTGCTGTTCTTGATCAAAAAATGTACAAGGCTCTGTTACCTTGATCGTGGCAAATATCACAAGGTTTAATTGAGGAAATCCTTTCATGCCAAGACATCTCACAGAACAAAGTGGAGGCATCCCTATGCTATTTCTGAATCTGGATACGTTTTTCCTTCATTTTAATAGTTTGTGCTGTGCCATTCCTGCCATTGGTAATCATCAAAACATATGTGGCCTTTAGGTACACTCAGCACCTTCTTGTCATTTAAATGCATGCTGTACAGGAAACTTTTCCCGTCTGAACACATGCCCACTCTGATAGCTGCTAATGTTCTGAACAGCTTGTGATAATAAAAAGAATGCAATATAGCTGAAAAATCAACAAGACTTTGCTACATTTGTGTTTAAAATATTTGATTTAAATATAATAGTTTCTGTAATAAGATTCAGAACTCAATTGGTGCTATTGTTTCAGTTTCTCTGGCTGTATATTCAATGAGACAACCATACACTGATGCTCATTGTGAAGCTGTCCCTACTGGTAGAGAATGTAGGAAAAATTAGGGTGCTTTGTTTTAAATGAAATCATTAATGGAGAGACAAGAAAATGGAGACTTCATTCATATTGATCCTGTAGATAGCATGCTGAGCACACGGAAAATAGTGTCTCCAGCATAAGGGCTAGTGCTCAGCACAAAGCAGCTGGTGCAGAATGGCCCTCACTTTGGGTCCAACCATGCTACTCGTGAAGCCAATTGGAAAACTCAAAGGAAGCAGGACTGGACTTAAAGGAGTGGAATATATACAATGTGAGCAAACTCCTATGCCTGCAATGAACTGACCACCGATGAGCAGGGAGGAAGTGGGTGTGCCTAGGATGGAGATGGATGATCAAGGCACTCTAGCTTACTCATAATTTAGCACATGCAAATTCTGTGCATAGTAGCCATTTTCATTATTTTAGAGTTCTGCCGCAGAGCTGTCCTTAGCAGAAAGCAAGTTACTGCAGTTGCTGGGAGGGTCTTCCACATAAAGGCTTCTGTTGCATCTTGTGAAGCAGTATCACAGCCAGCAGCTCAATGCCAGAGTGTTTTTGCCAGCCCAACCAGCCTGCCGCACCCACTCCTTTCAGTGTACTTCATTCTGCTGGATCATGACAATGCAGTGTGTTCAGCAGTGCTAGTGAGGGCTCAGCACTACTTCAGCAGGATGGAGCTTTTAAGATTCTAGTCTGAGAGATTCTGGATACTTGCCATACCCATTGAGCTCAGATAGTGAGGCCCTGATTCATCAAGATACTAAAGCATGTCCTTTTGTACTTAAAATTAATCATGTCCTTATAAACCTTAGTGAATCAGAGTTTGAGACCGTAAATTAGGAAAGCTCTCTCTGTTAAATATGATCTTTGCAGATTCAAATAAACCCATTCTATATTTAGATTTCATTATGAGTATGTATTTTGGTTTGTTACTACCTATACTGTATCTTTATTTCTGCCACTTGTAAGGCTTCCTTTTTCTGTGTTTTCACAGGGGTGATAAGCCTTCTCAGTAACATAATTGTGTTAGGCATCTTTGTTAAGTACAAGGAACTTCGGACAGCAACAAATGCAATTATTATTAACCTGGCTTTTACCGACATCGGTGTTAGTGGCATTGGTTATCCTATGTCTGCTGCTTCAGACCTACATGGAAGCTGGAAATTTGGCTACACTGGATGCCAGGTATTTGGGATTTTTTTATATTAAATCAAGGACCAAACAAGTACTAAGCAATTAAACACAAACCTGAATATATGAAAAATACCTTCCTTTTGATTTTTTTAATGTTCTTTAGCAATGGGTCCAGGTCTGGATCTGAACTTCCTTAAAATTCAGTGGTATTTGGCTCTGAGGAGTTGCTTAGGACTCATTGCTAATTTTCATTATTTAAACTTTGGAAGACTATTGAAGCATAAGCTTGTATTGATGTTAAATATACAATATTAAAATAACTATAATAAAGTAAATCCCATTACTTATTGTAGAATTCATGGATGCTTCTCATCACTCAGTAACCAAGATTTTCAAAGTAACTAGTGATTTTGGGTGCCTCAATCTTTGGGTGGTGAAACGGATACACTTTAAAGTATCTGATCTGCAGAGCGTGGGAGCTTAGCACTTTCAGAAATCAGGCCTCTTTAAGGCATGTCTATTAAGGTACCCATAAAATAGACTTTTGCATAACCAGTAGTCATCTTGAAAATCTTGGTAAATATTCAAAGAAATGGCCATCTTATTTTAGAATTTGCACAATTTTTCTCTCTTCATGTAAAATTGTCACTAAAAACATTGTATCATTAGCAGAAATGTAATAATCTTTGCTTACTGTGCATGCAGTTACTTAAATATGATTTTAAATGAGTATTTAGCAGCCATATTCATTATACACCCTGCAAATATTTGTCTGGCAAAAATTAAACAGGACAGCAGAATGCTCCCAACAAGATCTGAAATCACACACAACTTGCCTGATTGCAGATTTAATTTCAAATTCAAAATTTAGCCAACGTTCACCAGCGATCCAGGGCACTCATTTAATTGCATCTAGGATGACATATTTTGTGGATGAGATTTGAGAGTTTCCACTGTGCCTTGATTTGAGTTCTTAGGATCTTCAGAACTCTAACCTCAACTTGATCTAAACTGAAGAAATCCTGTAAACTGAAATCGTAGAATAGTGTGAATTTCTGTTTATAACTTCTGCAGTAAGAAAAATGTTGTTTGTGTTTCCCCAATATGCAACAAAAACATTAATTAAAAAATAAACAACTTTGCATCCCAGGATCATGAAATTCATTATTTAACATGAGTTAAAATAAATGGTGACTTTTGGCAAACTTCTTCAATGGGATTTATGAGGTCTTATGCAAGCACACTTATCTTAAAATGTTTAGTTTTACTTAAGCAACTAAAATTGTTAATAAAAAAAGGAGTACTAGTGGCACCTTGGAGACTAACCAATTTATTTGAGCATAAGCTTTTGTGAGCTACAGCTCACTTCATCAGATGCATCAAATAAATGGGTTAGTCTCTAAGGTGCCCCTAGTACTCCTTTTCTTATTGCGAATATAGACTAACATGGCTGCTACTCTGAAACCTGTCAAATTGTTAATAGTTTGTTAAACAAATTGGTCATTGATGAATGCATTGAATATGACCCATGATAACACTTAGCTTCAGGACACAGGAGGAGACTCAAACCTTTGGAAGCATTTGCAGTAGTAAGTGCAATGGACATGTTATCTTTTTAAATTTCAGATCTATGCTGCCTTAAATATCTTCTTTGGAATGGCAAGTATCGGGTTGCTTACAGTTGTTGCAATTGATCGTTACCTGACAATCTGCAGGCCTGATATAGGTACTGTTCTCTTGGATATAACTCTTGCACAAAAATGATCATTTTGATCATTTATTAGTTGACATCTATGAACCTTCATGCAAGTTCTTTTATTTCCTCTTGTGGAAACCTACTTCCAAAATTTGGGCATGGTTCTGCAGTAATTGGTTATGTGAGCTATCCCATATATAGCTAACAAAGTCATGTATATAGAAGGAAGCCATTGGCCCTTCTTAGTGGAATATTTCCTGACAATAATTGAAGCTGGGGGGGACGACAAAATGGGTTAGTTAATATATTTTATTGGATTCACTTCTGTTGGTGAGAGAGACAAGCTTTTGAGCCACGCAGAGCTCTTCAGGTCTGTGAATAATTTAATAATACTAAGAAGACTAATTGAAGCTGACCTGCATTCTTAATATCATTCATTTTCTATATTGTATTTTTCCCTTGATCTTTATTATGGGTTTAAAAATTATAATGGTTAATTTTTTCATTTTCCCTACATCCCCCCGGTCTTTTTCTTTCTCTCAGTTCTTTGATATGGCATCAGCAACATCTATTATTGCTAGCTTTGTGTGGGGGAAGGTGTGATAATGCTGAGATTTATTCCAGCTCTGTTTCTGGGTGTATTTAAATGTCATTTATCTGTGATATAGGAGAGCTTAAGTAAAATGGGTGAGCTGCAGTGTGCCAGGTGTTTGTAAGGATCATTTATAATTACTATGCTAATTGTCTTGCTTGGAAACATTTTTGGTTCAAATAAAACCTTGGAGAGAGGTAAAAGAATAGAGTGGTTTGATGTAAAAATATTTGCTTGGTTACAGGAAGAAGAATGACTACCTGTACCTATACTTCCCTGATCCTAGCTGCTTGGATAAATGCAGTCTTTTGGGCCTTGCTCCCTATTGTAGGTTGGGCTAGCTATGCCCCAGATCCAACAGGAGCCACCTGCACAATAAACTGGCGGAAAAATGATGCGTAAGATTTTGAAAACTTTGTTTTACTTTTCAAATGTAGACCCATCACTTATTTTTATTCACCACTGTGGTCAATGTTTTCTCCTAAGAACATACCATGCAATTTCTAAAAGTCAATGGCAGTTTAGAAGTAGATACTGAAGTAGTCTATAATAAATCAAAAAAGGATGTTAGAATACTTGACATTGGAAAGCGTTAGGAATCCTAAGTGTAAGAGTCACTGAGCCTAATAAAACGTATCAAGTTGAAGAAATTGTACTTACCTTTTGAAAATGTTTTTTCTGACTGTTTTATTAATAATAAAACATAAGGGAACAATGCATTTTTCAGTCATTTTTCAAAGCTGCACAGTTGTAATATCTTGTATTTATTTTTTGGCTTACAGGTCCTTTGTTTCTTATACAATGACTGTAATTGCTGTTAATTTTGTCGTGCCCTTAACAGTCATGTTTTACTGTTACTACAATATTTCCCGAACAATGAAACAGTACACTACCAGTAGCTGCCTGGAGAGCATCAACATAGACTGGTCTGATCAAGTAGATGTCACAAAGGTGATGGAGGAGGGTCTTAATTCTTAAATTAATATAATGTTTGATTTTGATATTGGTAAGCATATATAAATGGTTTGGTCTATCAAACATTTTTTCTTGTTTTACAGATGTCTATTGTGATGATTGTGATGTTTTTGGTGGCTTGGTCTCCATATTCCATTGTATGCTTATGGTCTTCCTTTGGAGACCCAAAGAAGATTTCTCCTGCAATGGCCATCATAGCACCTCTATTTGCAAAATCTTCCACATTCTATAACCCCTGTATTTATGTCATTGCAAACAAAAAGTAAGTGTCCCATTTTTAAATTAACAGCCTCCATCTACTTTATGATAACTGGGCATCCTAGTTGTGTAGAAAGACCTTCTGTAAGATACAACAAAATGTTTAACAAAGAGATGGAAAGGTTAAACCAGTGTTGAGTTATCTGTGATGAGTTGGATGATCTTTTGGACAGGTTTTAATAAAGGTAGGGGGTAGTATCTGTGCTATATATGTCTGAAGGTGTCTGACAACATTTCCATGATATCTTCAATTTTATCCTCATAAAAATATTTTGCAAAACAATTTCAGATACAGTCCTTTGCCAAGATGGGATCAGGGTGAAATTTGAATCCTATCTGAATCTGGGACTGTCTGCTTTTAATTAAACTGGCTTAAACGTATGGCTGCTTAGGCCCAAGAGATCCTCAAAGTATTTAGCCTCCTAGCTTCCATTAAAGTTAGGAGGCTAAATACCTTGGAGGATCTGGGCCTTAGTGACATGTAGCTCCCATGGATATAATTGCTTGGCTTGGGAAGTGTCCTAGTGGGGTGGTTTGAGACGTTTAAGAGCAAACCTACAAGGCTGCTGGCTCCTCTTCTGTCAAAATAAAACTATATCATATTTTGAGCATAGGTATCATATTGAATTGAGATAATAATTTTGGGACATATTCCTGGTCTCACAAAAACAGCCAAAATCAAAAGGGTTTTGCTTGTGGTTCGGAAGTATACAGGGGTTGGGGATGCTGGAATCCTTCCCTTCCCATTCCCCAATCTGCAAGCAGGGTCTGGGACATCCATACAGATAAGCTGAACTGTTACTGCTGAGTAGTTGATATGATCTGACTCTTCTCTCCAACCCTGTTGGTTTAGATCTGCCCTTTACCTAGACCCTCATGTACCACACAACCAGCATGCTTCCATTCACCGACTCATGTCCCTACATTTTATCACACAGCTGTGCTGGCGGGCAGCCCAACGTGTGCTGGCCTGACTCATGGGGTCCACCAAGCACCACAGGCGGTGCTGCTGTGGGTGCTCTCCCCAGGGGCTAGGGCTGAGTTAAATCAAGTTCTAGAGTTTGCACCAGTATCCCCTGCTCGGGAAATGACCAGTGTTCCCTCTAATTTTTCCCACCCATGTGTGGAATGAATTTTGCTTTGTGCACCAATATGGAGGTGATGTGTGACAAAAAATGAAAAATGGGACTGTCCTGAAAAAAATGGATTGTAAAGGTCACTCGAACAAAATTCCACGCATGCTAGTTTCACACTGATGCAATTCCACAGACCTCCACAGAGTTCCTCTTGATTTACACTGGCAGAAGACGAGACTAGAGACTAATTGAATTCTAAAAGTTTTATTAAAATAAAAAGCCTTATTGTTATAGCACATTTGAGGAATTTGATCTTAATTTATCTCTGTTTTTGCTTCTTTATCTATGCCTCTAATCATCTGAATTTTTGCTTCCCTCCTCACATTGCAGGTTCCGGAGAGCAATCCTGGCAATGGTTCGATGTCAAACTCGGCAGGAGATAACTATTAATAACACCTTACCAATGAGTGTCTCTCAGAGCACACTGACATGACGAGAAGCTGCTTGAAAGCACTGCCACTTTATTTACCCTATCGTATATGTTTTGTACACTACATGGAAATAAGTGGTCAAACCTGGGCCACAATTAAATTTGTATTACACTGTAATAATAATCCACTCCAACATGCCAGTTTGTTTCTCTTTGTCTCAATAACATTTAATACAGTTTTTTGTAAAATGCCAAGATTTTAGTACTGAAGAGTAGGCCAATTGGCATAATATGCTTATCCCTCTCGAAAGGCGATCGTGAATGCTCACTGTGTTTTGTAACTCTTGGATAGTGGGATAAAATGGTGTGGGAGAGAGGAAGGGAGAATAAAGCAGGATCTGCTTAATTGTGCTACAGTAACAGAAATAAATTTTGTGTATGTGTAATTCTTTTGGTATGTGTAATTTCGCTCTTTGAACTCTAAACCAGTTCCCAAAACTTCTGGCACAGTACTACTGTATCCTGCATTCCCTTCCGTGTCTTAAATGCACAGATTGATCTGACCTGAAAAGGTTGCTTCTGTGCGTACTGTAGTATGCAGGCCTATTTAACTCCAGTATTGCCAACTCTCTTTATTATCAGTTTTGCGATATTATGTGGTTTTCTGCCTTCTGGAGTCAAGTGATTATGTGAGAATCTCAGCTTTCATTTTAGAAATAGTAAGATTCTAACCTTCGTGACTGCAGAGAAAATCTTGAAAATGTGACCCAAGCACATGTTAGAAGTTCAAACCAGAAGGCAAGTAAACCCCCCCCCCCCCAAATTTATTATTTTAAGAAAATCTCATGATATTTGAGGCCTGACTCATGGTTTTTGAATGCCTAGGGTTGGCCATCTTGGGAGAATCAGTTTATTCAGGGCTGAAGGGATGAATATCTTTTCAAAGATTCAGTTATAGGTGGTAGTTAACTTGATATTGGTATTTCTGATGTTTGGAGAATAAATATCTTGTCTACCAGTAATATAAAATATGAACAACATTCAGGCAGATCTCAACTAAAACTGCTTCATCTAACTACAGCGACTTAACATATTGAGTTCACTTCCTGTTATCCAGTTGCTGTGCCTTTTTTAAAGAGACACAGACCCTTTTGGAATGCTGGATGTTGAACTTTTTACCTTTCACTGACAATAAAACAGAGAGAGAATATAGTTTGTTCTGACATCTGCTAATCTGTTCTAAAAAGCAAACATTCTAATGCTTCAAGGAAGAATGAAGAACACACATTTTAAAGCACAGTCTAAGGGGATTTTACTTCACATGATATTTTTGGTGCTATCAATTGATAATCAGTAGATGGCACCAACAATTAGTTTATTTCTTTGACTGTTCTATTAACATTTAAGTTTTATATGAAGTCATCTACATTCTTTTCAGAATGCAACTATTATTTAAATATATTTAAGCTTTTTGGTAAAGCCCCCAAAAATTGTTTTAAAAAAGTTGTAAAACCTAACTCATGCTATTAATCTTGAATGTTTTTAATATTAAAATGCAGGTACATTCTGCATTGTACAGTTATTCAGTCTTAGAATATGCCCCTTTGAGCTTATTATTTCATACTGTCTTTGACATGTTACACCTATATAGTACATTTTCTTCCACAATCGGAGTGCTTTACAAATATTAGCTAACTAAACTGCACAACACCCCTGTGAAGTAAAGGGATATCTCAAAATATATCTAGTAAATCTATATTCAATATAGTTAACTATAAAGATAATCCTGATATGTGATAGGTATAATTTTAACAGAATATTTTCCTTTGGCATAATAAAGAACAAACTGGTTCAACTGATCCTTTTCAGGATACATTTGAAGGTTAAGTAGCTACAGATCTCAACTAATCCACTGTAATCTGCTATTACTAAATGGATGTCTACATTCACATTCATAGCACACAGCACACGAGTGCCTGGGAATAAAAGTTTTTAGATTTTGTTCATATCAATTTTGCTGGGAGGAAGTCATGTATCTGTTTGTTTGTTTATGCATCATGATTAGCTTTTTTGAAGAGGTAAACAGTTTTTGTCCTTCACAATGCACTTGCATTTACCATGGCAGAAGTGATGGCACCGGAACAAGGTATGCCTTTCTTTATTGCCGTTACACAACGTAATTATAGGAAAATAGGTTGATGGAAATTTAGAATAACATTCTCTGACACCACTGATGAATACAGATTGTGTAGTTTTAGTTGTAGTTCATGTACTTTTTAGAAGTATAAAGGGGAAAGTTTATTCCATTTTTATGCCACTTTACATAGTAAGCAATGTGCATGGATGTTAACAGATAGCAATAATTTCTTGTCTTATTGATTTTTACTTAGCAGCTGGATGCCTTTTAAATCTTCAATTTTTACAGAAAGAGACTTCTCTCTGCACTCTAACTTACTAAATGTCGATATTTCCTTGAAAATTCCATTTCTCAAACCAGTTATTCATGGTATGGTAATCCTGGTTTTAGATAAATGCAAACATTTCCTTTAATCTGTAGGAAAATCTCATTGTTCAACAATAGAAAAAGTATGATGACGAAGAAAAAGCTTAACCACTTTGAAATATTTTATAGCAGATGCACTGGACATTGTATTATTGCTCATTTGGGGAATTACAATTTCAGCTAGTTTTATTCTTGTGCTATATCTGATACAAAGTTCTGATGGGAAGAAAGGAAAATGGATGTTCTTCGTAAATCAGCATCTATATGGAGAGAAAGGAGAGACATTAACTTTGATCAAAATTCTCAAACCTGGATGCCTAGACTCCTAAATCCATATATAGGCACTTAAAATAAATTGAAATGGCCTAATTTTCAGAGGTTCTGAGGAAACCTAGCACCACTGAAGTCAATGGAAGTAGAAAGTCGGCAGAATCTCTGCAAACTAGGCCACTTCTATTTAGGTGACTACCTGTGGATTTAGAAGCTTAAATTTAAGCACTGAGTTTGAAAAATTTGTAATCTTCAACCTACTTACAAAAGTAAAGTTCCACAAATATATTTACCCTAGTGCCTTAAATATCTGATATCTCCACACTTGAAGAGAAATTAGAAAAAGTGACACAAACAATTATAGACTTTTTATTAAAATAGAGGTCATGAATCTCCTGTTTCAATGATAAAAATACAAATAAAATCCTTCTGTTCTTGAATTACATTTCTGGCCCTAAAATGACTGGATAAAAGATAGCATTTAAATTTATCTGGAATTAATGCAGCAGTATCATTAATATTTTATATTCACTTTCTCTTTAGAAAGAAAGTCCACCTCTTAATTGTCTCTGTCTTTTAAACATAGAAGACTGCAAGTGATCTGATATTTTGGCAGTAGTGGTGGTGGAAATGGTATTAACACTTTAATATGTATTTGAGATGCAAGTCTCTGGTAATGAAATACAGATCTTTCTTTGTTGTTTGGTGCTAGGTCTGTGCTGTGTAATGACCCTGATATGTTTGAGATCCCTGTGAATGTTCCTGTGGACACAGTAAAACTTCGTGTAGAAAAAACTGTCATACGAAGAATCCCCACTGAAGCCTTTTACTACTTGGTGGACCTTAAATACCTGTGGGTGACCTACAATTGTGTGGCTAACATTGATGCCAGCAGCTTTTATAATTTGAAGCAGCTGCATGAATTGCGTCTGGATGGGAATTTGCTGTCGAGTTTCCCTTGGGAGTCTCTTGTGGAGATGCCCAACTTACGAACCCTTGATTTACATAACAACAAATTGACCAGCATTCCATCTGAGGCCGGTAGATACCTGAGAAACCTCACCTACCTGGATCTATCCAGCAACAAACTAATCACCTTGCCATCAGACCTAATGGACATTTGGCCCCCCTTCTCAGAAGCTACACCGTCCAGGAACACAGATCCGGCAGCACAGAGACTCATATTAGGTAAGCTCACGAGGCCATTGGATTCCTTATTAAAACATCTCTAAATATTCTCTTTAAAAGGGAAGCAGCTTAGTTTAGTGGATAGGACCCTGGACTGGGAGTCGGCAGATCTGGATTCTAATCCTGATTTTGCTGCTGGCTTGTTGTGTGATCACTTATCCTATCTTTGTCATCTGTAAAGTGGAGATAATGAGAGTTTCCCCTCTTCATAAAATAGGTTGGTATCTCCAGATTAAGAGAGCTAAGTAAATATTGCTGAAATCCTTCCCGTAAGTGTGCATGATGTATGGAATATTCAACTGTCATAAAAACTTGTGTTTTTTATTGTTAAGGATTTTTAAAGAATATATGTATTTAAGATGAGATTTCCCTTGTCAATTTACTTGGTGTAGCATTACACCATCTATTACTGGAAACACAGCCATGCCATCTCAGGCAATGATCTCAAAATGTGCCCAAACTAAGCAGGGGGCAGGTTTGATCAGCTCTTCAGTGGAATGCCCCAAATAAGTACTGCAGGATGTGGTGTTTGTGGCTCAGTAGAAGGGACTTTTCCCTCTACTATTGAACTACTGTGCCTGCGTTGTTAGAAGAGCTATGTTCCAGATGATATGCTCAACGGAGGCCCTGAACTCCCATGGGGTCTAACTCCCCTCTCAAAGTGGCTGTATGTTGGTGTAACTCCACAGACTCCAGTGCAGTTATTCCTGATTCACACTGGGGTAACTCAGAGTAGAATCAGCCCTGTGGTTTCTAAAGATGCCATGGCATTTATCACTACAGTGGTAGTGGTAAGGATGTGAGAACTGGCGCTCTGGTCAAACTCAATTTTGCATAATTATATCCTGCCTATTGCTGGGTTCCCTAACTTGCTATTAGTCTAGACCACATCATAGAGAGAGGGTCCTCTGGATCACCTACCCATCCTATTTGCAATCTCACAGACCACCTTGCACTTCCCCTCCCATTTCTAATCTTGTGTCCTACCTGCTGGCCCCACTTAGCAATTGCATAATATCACCAGGGTAGCTCTAGTTATTGCTTTCTTTCCTGACATTATTTTTCCATTTATTTATACTGTTAGCCATCTTTTAATACAATGGGAGAGCTAGCACCATGTAACCAGCCAGCTCTCCATAGACAACCACCAGTGAGTCCATACATCACAGCTTGGGAACCTCTGTCCCATAGTTGTAATTAAATACCATTGTGTAACGTTGTGTTTAGCCATTGTGTTCCACTGCAGAGGCCTGAACCTGCAAACCTTTATTAAGGTAAGAATAATTATCGTGAGTGAGAACTAGTTTGTGCCCACCTTGCTAATACTCTTATATAAGTAAGCAACTCTGTATGTGAGTGGTGCCAGTGGGTTACTTGTATGAATAAGTGTTTGCAGGATTGAGGCCACAGTTTGTAAAGGGCTTTGGGATCATTCAGGATAAAAGGTGATATAAACATGCGACATATTGTTATATCAGTGCTAATATGTTAGTTTAAAATATAGTGTGAAACTGCTTATACTATGCTGATTGCTGCCTGCTATTTATTTTAAATATTTGTACCGCTAATGTTCTGGACAAATGCTGTGTAGGAAATACTAATGCATGTCTTAAACTGTTAGTATAACACACTTAGCTTTTTGTAACTTGTGTGGCCCACAGGAATCACTCATCAGTTCTGTAAAAGTTTCGGCTAATACTTGCTTTTTAGAACATGTTGATCATTGGGTGCTCAGAAAAAAAATCGTGTGTAGGACTAGGTATAATTGGAGGGATTCTCCACTGCACTCAGTTTCTGTGGATGCAGAGTGTACGGAGGGGATGGACTGCATGTGGGAGCAGGGGGGTGACTCCCTGATCCTGGGATGACCAGCCTTTGAATAGGTGGGGGCTGCTCTAATCTACACAGCTGGTGATGGCTGGAGCACAGAGTGTTCTGTCCCTATCCCTGCATACTCCCTCTACACCAGGGGTTCTCAAACTGGGGGTCGGGACCCCTCAAGGGTTATTACATGGGGGGGGTCACGAGCTGTCAGCCTCCACCCCAAACCCTGCTTTGCCTCCAGCATTTATAATGGTGTTAAATATATAAAAAAATGTTTTTAATTTATAAGGGGGGGTCACACTCAGAGGCTTGCTTTGTGAAAGGGGTCACCGGTACAAAAGTTTGAGAACCACTGCTCTACACTGATGGTTACAGGAGGGAGGAGAGTAGGAGCTGGCTATGGGTATGTCTGTACAGCAGCTGTGAGGTGCAGGTGCCGGTCGACATACCTGTGCTCACTCTGCATGAGCTAGTTTGCCTGTGGTAGCTTAGGCTAGCTGCCCTGACACACTCTTTTTTGACCCCCTGACTATGCACTTGGGCGGCTAATCTGAACTGCTGCCTGAACCGCTGTGGCTACACTGCTATTTTTAAGTGCTAGCCTGAGCAGTATGTCTATCTACCTGTGCTGGGGAATTAAACCTCCCTGCTGCTGTGTATGTCAGCTCTAAACCTGCTGATGATTTACCCCATGTCGAAATCCTCGTCTCGGGAGTTCTAGCCAACTTCCAGTCTCTTTGTGCTGCCCTTGCTGTGCAAAGATCGTGGAATCTGGTTGAGTGCTTGCAGGCACTGTGTAAACTTTTTTCACTAGTCTTTGTCAACAGCCTTTAATCATGACAAGCCTTGCAGCCCTAGCACCTGTGTTCTCTTGAATACGTGTGACTGATTGTGCCATGTTATGTGATGATTTTATAATGTGCAAAAATGTCCTCAGGAGAATTAGCATGAGACCGTTAGCTCATTTTCATTTGTGAACCAAGTCTGGATTTGAACCTGTATCTCCAGAGATGAAAGGGCGTAGATTCATGGATTCAGGTGTCAATTTGCCTCTAGTTTTTGGATCCTATGTTCTGTGGAGATGGTATGCAATTGCCTATCTTCAGACTTACATACTAAAGTCAAATACCCTGAAAATAAAATGATGATTTCTTTGTAGAGTTTGGAGCAACTATAAATTAGGCTAGCTGTGAATGATTGACTTCATTTCCAGTCATTAATAGACTCACAATAAATGGCTTTGGTAGAGTGCGATCAGATAATGATTGTTATACAATTAATTGGAAGGTGAACAAGAACATTTCCTCTGGAGATCTGAAGTGTCACACCGCTTGTGTTTTGGATTGTTCCATGACCAGCCAACAATCCCCTTCCCACTAAACTTTCTATATCGTCTTCTTTATTGATTGTATTACTGTGGTGCCCTGGTCATGTTTCTCACTCATGTGTGAGCGCATAAGCGGACACACACTCGTGCGCACACGCACACACCCACTCATTGCAGGAGTCTCACCTTCAGGTCTGTGCCACAGGGACAGGGCTGTAACTACCTGGTAGATTTTAGGATCTGGTGACAACATCAGAGAGAGGCTGTCCCTGTTGTACTTTTGTTGCTTAAAAATGTACCATGTTGAGTAGGATTTATATGGGCCTGACTATCTTCTTCACTTCTCCAAGCAGAAGGGATTCTGGGTAGAAATAATGAAAAAGGGAGACTGATGGCTCTGTGACATTGCCCTCTCTGATAACCCATGGAAGATCAGCTGGGACTCATTGAGGCTTTCGGGGCTGGGAAAGGAACCAAAGAGCAGTTGTTCTGTGTAGCACTCTCCCCCTTCCCAGAGGTGGTGAGTATCTGCTTGGATTCCATGCCTTAATTAATTCTGCTTGAATTCGTGTTAACTAAGGCTACATTTCTGCACCTCTCAGAGAGGCTGGCCTGCTAATGGTAGCATTTCTTCTGCAGGAATCACATTGCCAGGGGTAAGAAGGGGCCAAAGGAGCTGACCCTCCATTGGACTAAAGCTTCACTTCTTCGCAGATCTGCAGTTTTCTGCACCTTCTGCCTTCTCTGGATGAAAATTCTGCAAAGTGAACCTTCAGAGAGTCCTGGGTACTTTGTCCCCCTCCAGCGGGAGCATCCAGTTAGGTGCTCTATCTCTAGCTGGCTTGTTAGCTGAAAGCATAGTGTCACTGGAAGCTGAAACTCAGAGCTTCCTAGCAGTACTTACAGCAAAGTCAAGTTGTTGAAATGCTGCCAGTAAAATGGCAGTTAGGGTTCTGCTCAATGTGGGCAATGGTTGGCGGAACCAGGACAACCAAGATTATTCGCTGCTGTGTTGAAACAAAATCCAAACCAAGTGATTTTTAACATTTAGAAGGCTCGGCTAGCTGCAGTGTTATAAGTGAACCTGAGGAGGGGAGAGTGCAGGAGAAGGCTCCCTTTCCAAATCTTCAGGCGACGTGACTGCCTGTGCCCCTGGAATACCAGGAGCTGCTTTTGTCTAGCTGACAAGAACCTGGCCTTTCCCTAGCCTTTGTTAGTAATCCCCAACTTTACTTTTGCTTGACCCATTTTGATTCCTTGTGTTTCTTCAGTCAATTTGGGCACCAAGGGCCCAATTCTGTTCCCACTGAAGTCTGTGGTGGCAGGGCTGGGCTGTAGGAGCATACTGTGCTTTGAAATCTGAGGCATGCACAATGGTAATATCATTCCCCTTGTGGTCTCCCTCCTAGAGAGCCATTGAGAGTATGACGGAATACAGCATATGACAGAGCTGCAGTTTGCACTGCATGAAATCTATGTGAAGCCACTGACTAAACCCCAGAGGAGCAGCAGGGGCTGCAGATGGTATTGTAGTTACAGAGAGCCTTGGGTGGAAGAAACATCACAGCTGGGGTGGAGGAAACAACACCTGTTAATGACATCCAGGTTTCGTTTTGAACCTTGACTATTTTATTTATTGCCACTTTACAACCCAGTGAAAGGGGAATAATGTGCATTTAATAACGCTCCGAGGCTGGTTACTGATTTACAGAGAAAATTTCCTACATAGCTCGCCTCTAAGCTAAAGTCCATATTGACACAGTGGCATGTACTGGTGCAGGGGAAACTGTTTACCAAGAAGAAGGGACTGCATAAATGTATTCTTCTGTGATACACATTGGAGTATATA